CTCCCCAGGATGTTATTACCTCTTGTTGAAAACTTTTGATCAGGAGTTAACAGCTTTGCCACATTCTTTGCAGTTTAGGGTTTTCCTCCATTATGTGTTGTCTCATGTTCAGCAAGTCTGTAGTTCTGTTTAAAGGCTTTGTCACATCATAGTTTACATTTGGCAGCCTTCTCCCCACTACGTTCTACTTCGGGTTGGAAGTTTTGAGTAGTACTTTACTGCTTTGCCACATTTTGTAGATGTGTAATATTTCTTCCCATTATAAAATCTGTGCTGTTGGGGAGCTTGGTTGGATCCGATGGTAAAGTGTTTGAATCTTGATTTCAGCTCAGGTCATGATCTCAAGGTCCGGAGATCAAGCCCCACAATGGGCTCCATCTTAAGACGCTGCTTAAGATTCTCTCTCCCCCCACCCGACTTGCGCACACGCTCTCTCTTTAAATGAATGAATAAACGAGTGAGTAAAATCTCTGCCATTGAGTGGGTTTTGAAGTTAAAGGCTTTGCCAAAGTTACTACATTTGTAAGTCTTCTCTTTAGTAAGGATACAGTGGTACATAGTAAGATTTGAACTTTCGTAAAAGACTTCCCCACATTTATTATTTTTATGTGGGCTCTTTGCAGACTGAGTTCTCTGATGTTTATTAGGATTTGACCCTTGATTAGCATTTTCCCAGATTCACTGTATGGGTAAGTTATGTCTCCATTATAAATACCTCACTAATTACGGAAGATGCAGTCCTCACTAAAGATCTCCCTATGTTCACAACACATGAAAACTTGCTGCAAACTAAGTATTATGTGATAACTATTGAGCAGTGAAATCTGGTTAAAGATGCTACCACGTTTACCAAGATTAGAGACTTTGGAACAAGGGATTATGTGTTAGTGGAGGAATATGAAACCCACCGAAGAGAATTTCTCAAATCAATCATATTTAGAATTTTTATCTTCATTTTGAAATGTCTAACATTTCAAAATGTCTCGGTGAATGATTAATCCAATTTTATGTTTGAAATGGTTACTTTCAGTACGGATTGGGTGCCTTTCAGATTTTCCAAATGTCCTTTAAGAGAATGTGTATGTTTAAAAAATGGATTTTGGTTCTTGTGTTCAAAGACATTGCTCTGCAAATATAACAGACTTAAAGGTAGTTCTCCCAAGTGTTTTACACCCTTGATCTCTTCTGGCAGTAGGGATGTCATTATGGATAACTGTCCCAGCTTGGTTATATCCATCAGAACATCCTTTGTTCCCTTTACCAACCCCCATCATCATCCCTGTCATTAAGTATAAATACTTGGGCAACAGCTTCCATATATTCCCAGCACTCTATAGAACGAATCTTCTTTGCCTGTCTTTGCCAACAAGCCTAAGAGGTTATAGAGAGACACAACGAAAAGATACAAAACAGGTTATCTTGCTTACTAAACTCATATGCATGGTCATTAAAATACTGATGTGCAAAATTAACCCCCATCATAGGACATTAGGAGAATGGAGAAATAGGAAGCATCAGGACTTTGATCCTCCATGGAGACAAAATTGACCATATTACCTTTTTTTCAGTGCTCTAGAAACCAGTTAGGAGAACACAGCAAAAGCATTCAAGTATGAATGAAGAAGAACCACACTGAAGGGACAAGGAAAGTTTCTGACAGTTGTGCACAACAGCTGCTCACTCTCCCTGGCACTCCGTGGGCAAGACCGTGAGAAAAGTCTCAACTCTGCTCAGGAAAGAAAGACATAAGTGAACTGTGTGGGAGCAATAATCTGGCTGCTTTGCAGCTGCCCGGGGACTTGTTTTTTTGTCACGTGTGACACAGAATGAGAGAACCCAATGATACACTGTGGTGGCTGCTGAGTCCCAAGGCAAGCATTTGTCCAGACATTGGAGAGACTACAGAGCTGAAGACAGAGAGGGGAAGGTATCACAGGCTCTAAAGAAGTAACTCCACCTCTGTAAACTCAGAAATTAACAAAAACTCAGACAACACAAATGCCCAGAATACATGTGACAAGCACCAGGATTATTGTGATTTGGGTTCCTCTGTACAAATCAAGTTCAGAAGAATGGGCTCAGAGGCTATTTCTTAAATTCCCAAATGTGAACAAAAGATCACAAGGCATACAAAGTAGAAAAACTACTCCAATCAGAGGAATAAAATAAATCTCCAAAACTGGCCCTAAATTAAAAAAGAACTATTAATTACCTGACCAAGAATTCAAATAACCATCACGAAGATGCTCGTGGGAGGAGAGAAAACAGGGAACTAAATGATGTCAGGAAGACTATGCATGGCCAAAATGTAAACCCAAAGAGATGAAAAGTATAACAATCAATCACCCTAGAAACTGGGAGCTGAAGGGTATAATCACGGAATTTAAAAATACACCACGGGGTCACCAACAGATGTGATCCAGCAGAAGAAAGATCATATTAACTGAGAGACCCCTTGGTCAATGATCTGTTGAGAGGAGCTAAGAACAAGGTGGAAAAGGACAGAGTCTAGGGATTCATGGGACACCACCAAGTGAACCCAGAAATACATTAAGGGAACCTCATAAGGAGAGGAGAGTGAGAGGGGGCAGAGTTTACAGGAAGAACTACAGGCTTCTACTTCCAACATATGTGGCAAGAAGAGACAAATTCAAGAAGCTCAGTGAGTTCTAAGTAGGATAAATGTCAAGACATGAACCCACTAACACATTATAATTAATCTATCAAAATTCACAGGTGATCAGAGATTTTCAAAACAGTATGACAAAGGAATCTCATACAAGGGAGCTCCTGTAAGATTATTGGTAGGATTCTCAGTAGACCTTAGGGGAAGAATATTATACTATTAGGACAATTCATGTATACAGGATACAACATTCAGTGAACACTAACCAAGGGAAAAAATCAACAACGTGTGTCACGAAGTATGTGTGCGCGATATTTATACAAATACATACATAATTTTACTGGTAAAGTGCATAAAGTGGATTCATACTTGAGTTAAACTCACAGTATCTTAAAATCTAAGTTGAAAATTGTCATCCTACCACAAAATACACAGGCAAAAATGAAATCACAACTAAATAGTGTTGTGGAAGAGCCCAACAAAGGAAACACATTATTCACAACTGCAAAACCATAATAAGACAAAATTTACCCCAAAAAAATTCTACATAAAAAATAGTTGAGGGGCGCCTGGGTGGCTTAGTCGGTTGAGTGTCTGACATCGGCTCAGGTCATGATCTCGTGGTTCGTGAGTTCAAGCCCCATGTTGGGCTCACTGTTGTCATCGTAGAGTCTCCTTCAGATCCTCTGTTCCCCCACCCCACGCCTCTCCCCTGCTTGCATGCTCTTTCTCTCTCTCTCAAAATAAAATAAACTTAAAAAAAATGTTTTTAAATAGATGAATTTTTAAAAGGCAACCTTCTATATAACTATAATTTTAAACTATGACTGTGTACCCCTAAGAAAATAGCATTTTCAATTACTGGTAGGACTTCCTCAATGGTAAAATGAAAAACAGTATTCATTAAAAGCAACCATGGAAAGTTCTAATGAAGAATATTACGAATAAGCACTGAAAAGCCATTAAAAAATTGTATTATGTGATTAGAATATTCCTCCTCTTACACAGAACGTGAGGCTATAATCCATTCTTTAGAACCAAGCAGACAAAATAAACCTCTTTTATTTGTAAATAATGAAACACCACCAGAGCTGTAAAATATGTTGACAATCACTTTATGAAAAATAAATATTGGGGATTAAATTCAGAAACATTCTGAGGAATGCAGAAGAGAAACCTATTATTGGTTATTTTTTATTGAAGTAAAATTACATTATAAAAAAAGCTTTTTAAAATATGGCAATTTTACTAATTATCCACCTTACTTCTTATAAGCATATGCCAATGGCCTATCAGAACTTTTGATCTAAAAATTCAGAGATTAACAGAGCGCCTGGGTGGCTCAGTCGGTTGAGTGTCCGACTTCAGCTCAGGTCATAATCTCATGGTTTGTGGGATTGAGCCCCACATCTGGCTCTGTGCTGACGGCTCAGAGCCTGAAGCCTGCTTCAGATTCTGTGTCTCCCTCTCTCTCAAAAATAAATAAACATTAAGAAAAAAAAAGGCTTTTTAAATTTAGTGATTAATCTCATATATAACTAATCAGAAAACAAGAACACAAATGACAAAAATCACAAGAACTTATATAAAATAAAATTATAAAATGATGCAATTATTAAGAAATATGGTGATAATTGAGACTTTATGATAGGCTGTGAGTTCTAAGCTCTAAATGTTGGAGCTCCCCTGGGGCATTAATTTCTGTAGGAATTCTAGGATACACATAGATACATTAAATTATTTCACCATTGAGGAATGGAATGCAGAGTGAAAATTCCTAATTTTAGTTAACAGAAAGACAAATGAACTTTTGACGTGAAATAAAGGATTAGATTTTCTTATTTTAGGGAGGTGCTTTGTTATCTGATGAAATTACTGAGTCTCAGTTTTGTATGATTAAGATTAAAGCCTCCATAACATTGGAAAGGTTAAACAAGAAAACATGTGATATCTGTCTCCAGTGTTCTCGGAGTTTATGCACCAAACCCCAATATGGCCACCACTATCCTGACACACTTCTCACATGAGGCAAAACAGAACCTAGAAATAGCTTAGAATAGAGTTCGTCAGAAATATGGAAACTTCCCCAGGGCCCTCAAAGCAATGGAGAAGCTCTCAGAATATGCAGGCCCTCACACTCCAAGGGGAGTCTCCTCCTGGCCCTCACTGTGGACATGATAGACCATCACTGGAGCTGAAGAATTCTCAAAGAATGTAAGAGCCGGAGGTGTTAGATAGCAGATGGCTCGCTGTGAGAGACATAAAACTAGCTAATTTCCATTCAAGGAGAGCTGCTCAAACCACATTTTAAGGCCTATCTTCCTCCTTCACGACTGGTCCTCACCTGTCATCTGCTTCACTCATCCCCACCTACCTGGGGGTGTGGCTATGGTTTCCTTTTCGTTCACATCACACAGCTCCTTCTTTTCCTCCAAAAACATGACCAGGTCTGGCTTTGACACAGCAAGACCTGTTTATTAGAGAAAAGGAACAGAGTATTGACGGGGATTCTAACTTTCGACCCACTATTGTGCTCAGCGGACGAGAGAGGCCACTGTGTAGAATTTTAGGAAATGATTTCCCAAAAGCCATTGCCCAAAAGTCCCTTTACAGCATGCAGGAAGGATTTCCAACGTTCGGATCTTGACCTCCACTTCCAAACACTAGATACAATAAGAGGGAGAACTTGGAGTCAAACACGTGGGAGGTACCATTTTATGCCATTCAAGGTTTATAATTGCCGCTAATCTACAGAAATGAAGATCTTACATGAAAGGGGAGGCTAAAGCTGAAAAGGAAACATCAGGAAGGTATTTCTCTACATCTACAAACCCCTACTTCTTTTCCTCACTGCAGGGATCTGAATCCCAGTCCTGCAAAGAGGAAGCTTTTTCAAAGGAAGGAGCAAAACCCTGAGTGTGGTTTGGGAAGTCTGGAAGGAGTTATCCTCACCCAAGAAAAGGAGGTGTCCGTAGTTCTCTAACATCACATCCCTGTACAGTTCCCACTGAACGACGTTCAGGAATCCCCACTCGTCCTGAGAGAATTCTATGGCCACATCCCTGAACGTCAGCAGTTCCTGCAATGAATACCACAGTTACCAAGTGACCACAGGCAGAGGTCATAATGGTACCTAAGATGAAAGAGGGAGTTAATGTCACCAGCTGGACCCCAAGACCTGACTTTCACTGATTACCTGCTTGTTCCCACTGACCTTAAATCCCTCAATTTCCTTTACCTCTTCTTTCTACCATCTTCTACTTCAGGCAAAACCCCCCATGGACTCAGTCTCCTATGGGAAAACAAAGCATCCAACAAAAGGTAATGACTGCCCCGAGGAAGAGCTTGGGCTGGCCCAATATGAACTTAGCCCCTGACTCACACCTACTGCAGATGGACCAAAGAGTAACCCAAGGAGTGACAGTTGCCATTACTCACCTCTACATACGACGGCAAGGCTCTCCTTTCTCAATATCCACCCTAATCTTAAATAAAAGGAAACCATTCCCCATTCCTCAGCGAGCCTCTGCTCTGGAAATTATTCCCTTTCTCCTAATTTGCTGAAAACCAAGTTTCCCTTACGTGACAACCCCAGCTGGTGTAGTTTCTCTCTTGTGAGTCAGCAAAGAATGAACTCATGTTAGTAGTTGTATCAGGAGAGCTGGTTCTGGCCTAGGAGAATTCCTCGCTTTATGCGGTGATTTTTAAGACGGTAATATGTTCTCACGTATTCTCTAATTTTGAGATAACAGGCTGGTATAGGATTCACAAAAACATTGTAAACACTGTGTTTACCCAAGAGGATTTGTGAAATAAAGGCATCAATACAGGAATACGCGTTTTTAAATACTGCATTTGTATCATATAGAAGCTGTGTCTATTTCTTAGATGGGAAGTTTGAGTGGGTTACAAATATGCTTACCAAATTCTAAGGTGAATGAGAATTTCACTACCGTGTATTAAAGATCTTGTTAAAATGCAGGTTCCGTTCAGGACTTTTGCGGTGGTATCTGAGTCTGCATTTCTAACAAGGCATTAGCCTTTGGGCCAAGGGATACATTTTTGAATAACAAAGGTAGAACTCCAAGGCAAGAATTCTTGGAGGGCTGGTAACTGAATGGGTTTTATGGCAATTACAGGTTCTACTAGAATAGCAAGAAAGCCAACAATTTTTTCTGAGCATTTCATACTTATCAGTGAGCATCTAAGTTTCTCGTAAACTAATGAAATCTAAGAGAACAAACTCGTTATTCTTTTATTTTCATGGAGTATTTTGTCAAACATCCAATATACAGAAGGGATCAGGTCGTAACCCAGGTTATCTGCCCTACAAGTTATCTGCCCTACAGTTGATCTAAAATGACACACAGGTCAGTATACAGAGAGGACCCTATAAAATTGTTCATAAAGGTGTCAAACCTGAGGAGTGATGGAAACAAGCAATCCACACAAAATTGATGTACCTTTTTACATTTCCTGCACACATCCATACATTTATTTAGAAAGTAATTAAATACACATTAAAAATGACAGAGTAGAAAACGGTCATGGAGACTTAAACATTTTCAATGACAATAAAACTCATCTCTTTGTGCCTGACAATGCTTCTTTTATTCACAACGGCAACACGAACACACAGAATGAAATAACTGTTATATCTGAGTCCAGTATGGTGATGGATAGAAGCAGTAAACTGTTCACCGTTAGCCCAGAAAGCTGCTCTCTAGCCTGCATAGATTCCTTAAGGATCAAATACGTGCTGGTTGCTGCATTCTTACAGGGTCTCGTGGCTACTTATACATCTCATCGATGGCTAGTATCGAAATGAATGATAAGCACCAGAAAAATCTTGCAAAAGTAGCTTTCCAAGTAGAAATTCCAAGAAACACTGATGATCTAATACTCCCCACATGTCCCCTCCCACTTGAGCACTTTGCAGATAACCCCCAGCTGCATACAGCCAACCTGCAGCTCTTTCTGCCCAAGGTTCCTGTTCCCAAGCTACTGAAATATAATTAGTAACATGCACCATAAAACGTCTCAAGAATTGTTTCTTGACAGTTGTGCTCAAGGATCCCACAACATAGTATTTCACCGAAGACTTTTGTTTCAATCCTCCTTTTTGATCTATTTCATGATTTTAAGACACTCAAACATGTTTATTCTGTGGTTCTTCTTTTGCTGAACACACAAAGTAAATAGAAGAGGATGCCTGTGACAAGAGCGTAGAGTAAAATAGAAGCCTACAGGACGGAGGTCTGACTGAATTAGAACCTCCATTCCCAGAAGTCACTATCTCTACTACACAAGTGTGTAAACTGAGGCGATGTGGGTGGGCCCGGGAACCAGAAGTCAAGAAAAATTCTTGAGACACAGTCATTACAAAAAGCTGCTTCCATTAAAGCATGGGGACAGGATCTGCACTGAGACAGTGAAGAGAAATAATCGTCTACTTTTAAATTCTGGGGATGAAAGAAGCTTGTACAGGAATTTTCACATGTTAAAGAGGACTTAAGGGATCCTGAAGGTCTTGCTATGGTCAAGCTAAGGTTGTTGTTGTTTTTTGCCTCTACCTGCAAGTTGCCAGGAAATTTTATTGTATCTACGTTTTTCTCGCCTTTGTTCTCCTTAACAGAAACTACAAGCAAAGAGAAACTCAGGAGAAAAAAGTTTCCAGTTTAAATGTGATGGTTTCTGCACATCGCTCAGCAAATCCATCTAAGGTCCTTTAGGAATGAAACGAGGGAATATGTGAATGAAATCTGGTGGAGAACACCGCGCCAAGTTAAACAACGGAACATCAGCTGTAAGGAAACGATTTGATGTGTCCGAAGGTCACATGATCACTGGCGTGTTCTTGTGGCTCCCTAACAGTAAATCAGAAGATAAATCTAATTATGAAAAAAACCAGTGGATTTATCCCAATTTCAATCACATATCGTTTCCATGTCCTATAATACCTGGTATATTTTAAATAGAGTAGCTTTTTCACATTCTAAAGACCAAGCCTGCCCTTTTTTATTTGCAGAACTCTCGGAGTTATTCTGGGCCTCATATCCATCTTGTATTTATGTTCATTTTCTTAGTCCGGGATCTACACAGAGCTGATAAAGCATCCAAAGTGGACCTAAATGGGAAGTGGTTTTTTTCCTTGACTGAACTACCAGGGCCAGACCCCATCAGCAATAGGAATTTTGAACTCCCCTATTTCCCCTGGGGATCTGTCACAAGGAATATTTTCAATACTTGCAGGACTTTAACTCCAAGTGACAACTGTCGAGGCCCTCCTGGAACCCAGGTCGCAAAGGGGACAGAGAAGGCTCTGGGATATACAGGAACAGTGTTCTAAAGACCTAAACTGGAGTATGATTTTTGAAAAGGTTTAAAAAATCAGGTGAAAACAAAGCAGAAATATCAGGACTAGAGGAACCAACATTTGCAATTTCTAAAAGCACAGAATTTCAGGAGAGAAAGAGGACGCGGCTTCTGACGTGGGACGCCAGGCTTACCTGAGAACTGGCCATTTTCTTCTTCTTGCACCTCGTCCGCTAGATTTCTTGCTCGGTTGATTTCAGTGATGAAATCACGGTTGCATCAGGAAGAAAATGCCTTTAAAGCCACCAACACAGCCTCTTCATCAGTTAGCCGCACGCCTGCAGGCAGGACATTGTAATGCAAAAACGGCCCAACTTCCTAGTCCTTTGTGTCCTGAGCTATTCAGGAACTCTGAGCTCCCACTTGGAAACCTAGCTGAGTTTCCCCTTCTCTGCTTGCAGGGGGCCTCTTCTCCCACAGACACCCCCAAATTAGACTGCAGCATGGGAACGTGTGCTGCACGGACCTCACCCTCCCCAACTCCTACAGAGTAGACCCCATTACCTCTCCTTTAGCCAAAGCCTGCACTCAACGTTCATAAATTAATGGGAAGCCGCCCCGCGTAACCCTGGCCTCATTCTGAATCACCTGATGCAGTTAATTAAAATAACAGTTGGGAGGCGCGCCAGGGTGGCTCCGTGGGTTCAGCCTCCAACTCCTGATTTCGGCTCAGGTCATGATCCCAGAAGTGCATTGGGATCCAGCCAGTTATTGGGTTACCTGTGAGCAGAGCCTGCTTAAAAAAATTCTCTCTGTCACCAACCCTCCCCACTCACGCTGTCTCTCTCTCTCTCGCTCGCTCTAAATTAAAAGAAAAAAAAAAAAACACTTGGGGCGCCTGGAGACTCAGCTGTTTAGCGTCCCGCTCTTAATTTCGGCCCAGATCATGATGCCAGGGTGGTGGGATTGAGCCACGCGTCGGTCTCAGCTCGGAGCGTGGAGCCTGCTTAACATTCTCTCTCGCCCTCTGCCCCTCCCCCGCCTGCTCATGCGCTCTCCCCTCTCTTAAAAAAAATACCGTGCATGTATAAAAATAAAACAAATAAAAAATTGCTATCCTTCCCACCCACACCAATTGACAGAATAGGAGGGGGAGGGCAGCTGATACCTTTTTTCAAACTCCACACGTGACCCTATTGGGAAGCATTTGGGGAAGTGACCAAGCAAAAATCAGTAACCATGGGTATTGTTGTCACCCAGATTTAAATCCACGCCCCCTCCACTGATCAGAGTTTCTGGAGATTTACACATTCTCCCTCTTTTCTCTACACGGAGGGAGACGCTCATTCAAATGCAGCCTCCCCTTATACATGCAAATGCCTCTTACAAAAGGAAATTTACACCAGGTTTCAGAGCTTTTCATTTGTCTGCTGGATCTTTAAAATAACCAGCCGAGAATAATCCTTAGGGCAAAGAGACATATTTTGTGCTGACAAAATGCTTCCCCCCCCTTCAGTAGGGAAGTGTTTATTTTCCTAAGTCACTGGCAGTTTTCCAAAGCGAACGTGTATTTTCCACTCCCATCAGTAACACATGGGAATTCTAAATCCTCCCAATTTTCGTGTTAATTTGGGGTTATCCTTTTTCCTTTATTTTAGCCTTTCCAGAAAATATTCAGGGCTTTCTCACTGTAAAATATGAAGTGATCTTACTACAGCTGTCGAATACGCTTAAAAGCATAATGCTGAACAAAAATCAAAATGACTGCATTAAAGCATCAGTAAGTCCTGACATTAAACGAAATACCAATTTTTCCTCTCTTCCACAAACCTTCCCTCCTCCCTTTTCATTTAGCCTTTTTCTTCAGGAAGCCGGTACCACCCAGAAAACCTGATGAACAAGGCAGGCAACACAAACAATTCCTGTCGAAACCGGATGGATCCTGTATTTCCCTACAAACCCCCAGCCCCTGCCTCTGGGTGGGCTTGCAGCTCTGAAGGCCCTAGCCAGCCTCAGCCTCCTCAGCCTCCCAAAGCAAGAAAGCTACTGTTCCCCAACTCTGTCTTATCCCAAACTCTGTCTTCACGCTATTATTTTTGACTCTGAAGCACAGAGGTCAGTTTTTGAAAACAGAATGAATGTGCAGGAGAGGAAAACATTTTTCTCCATCTGTTCTCTCTTCTTTGGTGGGTCTAATAATTGCAATGATGTAAGACAGGTTCACAAAGGAAAAAAACTAATTTCTTAATTACGGGAACCTCAAAGATACCAGGCTCAAACACAGGCAGCTGATGCTTATATGCCATTTTGAATTAAGCAGAAGGGGGTAGGGATTTAGAATTTCAACAAGGTGGAAATACATTCACAGGAAAAAGAAAACAAATATTTGTTACACGTTTGCCATGCCAGGCAAGCAATTATTTATGATATAAAAAGTTAATCTCAAAAAAAAAGTTAATCTCTGGTATTAGCTCTTTTCCTGGTAGAGAGGTCCCTCATCTAATTTATTCTTGGGATGTATATCAGCCTCAGAAATAAAGGGAATCCTTCCTTATGCAGCAACAAAATAAACTTAAAGCACCTTTTCTCAAGTTAAATAAGCCACACACAGAAAAATATATACTGTAGGAAATCACATATATGTGGAATCTAAAAGAGACAAAAATTATAAAAGATTAGCATGTTCGTTGCCAGGGGCTGAGGACGGGGAAATACTCGGACATTGATTCAACTGGTCAAGATTTACTTAATGCAGGATGAGTAAGCACTGCACGTTTACATCTCGATGACCAGAGCTCATACTAGTGTGCTGTATGCTTGAAATTTGCTAGGAGAGGCTATCGAAGTGTTCTCACTGATGTGGAGAACAAAGGCAAAAGAAAAAATACTATTTTCTTACGACTCACAGCCCACTGACAAGTCGTTGAGACGGGCAGAGTGGCTTTTCCTCCAGGAACTCACCTGCCTCAATGTGGACACTTTGCCAAGTGCAAAAGGCAACCTTTGTGTGACATTAGCCCCACTCCAGGATCCTGTAAATTCTCCTTCAACACATAAAAACCCTTTTGGAACCTTCCTTTATCTCTACTCCCCAAGTCATATGGTAGCAATTACCCTCCAAGCTTATGGCCCACTGATATACATCTGAAGGGTCTCATGACTGAGGCTTCACTAGACAGTAATAAATGACCTTTGCCTAATAACATCTAGACCCTCAAGTTCCTTGAAACCTTGCTTCCAAATTCCTCAGAGACTTAGGCTGTCCCTAACCCCCTCCCAACTTGAAAGTATATCCTCAGCCACTCCTACTAACCTCAGTGCAGCTCTTTCTGCCCACAGGTCCTGTCCCCGAGCTTTATTAAAACCACGCTCTTTGCACTGAAGACCAGAATTCTTTCTTGTCTGTTCACTCCCGAACCCCAACATTTTCATAGCATCACCACACACACACACACACACACACACACACACAGAAAATCTTTTTTTTTTTTTTTTTAATGTTTTACTTTTATTTTTGAGACAGAGAGAGACAGAGCATGAGCAGGGGAGGAACAGAGAGAGGGCAAGACACAGAATCTGAAGCAGGCTCCAGGCTGTCAGCACAGAGCCCGACGCGGGGCTCGAACTCACAAACCGTGAGATCATTACCTGAGCCAAAGTCAGACCCTCAATCGACTGAGCCACCCAGGTGCCCCCACACAGAAAATCTTAATTGTGGAAGGTATGGGATGTTTATTAGATCTTTTGTGGTAATGACTTTGTAAGCAGGACCCAAGGGTGCAGGAGCACCTCGTTCCAGTGGCCCCAGACACACCCAGTTCTGCCACTCATGGCTGACCAAATCCAAGGGCAAGACAGAGGACTTTTGCTGCCTCAATTTTGACCTCAAACTTCCTCACTGGGTTCCTTCCAGCTTGTCTCCTGGCTCAGGAGGAAGACGCTGAGGACAAAGTATCCCTCAGGGGAACTGGAATTACCCCTCAAGCCACAAGCACTGCCCTGAGCCAAAAGACCCCACCCTGGACTGACTCCCAGACAATGACAGATTTAACCTTCACTGTCAACCTGCAGGCACCCACTCACTTTTGCCCCCGTTTCCCTTATATAAACCTGGAAGTATATCTAGCACATTGGAGACAATCTGAGACATTAGTCAGCCATCTTCCCAGTGTCTGCCTCCCTGAAATAACTTCCTTTGTCTCACCACCTCTCGTCTCTCTGCCTTTGGATTTTGTCAGGAGCAAGTGACCAAACCTGATCTGATTGGGACCCTGGAGACACATGCTCTTGCACCCCATCCCTGAATACCAGCTAACAGCAGAGCAATGAGTGGTGGCAAAACCAGAAAGGGATTTTCGTCAGGGAGGCCAACACCGAGAAGGCAGTGCACGGACATCTCAAACACGGTCTCCAAATTACCGGAATAATCCTCAACCTTGAAAAAGGAAATAGACCCTTTCAAATTAAACAACACACTTCAAATGTGAGGACATTATGCTAAGTGAAATAAATGAATGAGACACACAGACACTGAATTACTAACATGACTAACCTAATGGAATGAACCTCATGAAAAAAGGAAGGAATGAAGGAAGGGAGAAAACAAGGAATGTAGCAACAAAAAAGTAAGAAAGGAACAAAATGTAATTGCCTGGGGTTTAGAATAGATACAAATGTGGAAGGGGGCGTCTGGGTGGCTCAGTAGGTTAAGCATCCAACTCCTGGTTTCAGCTCATGTTATGATCTCAGGGTTCATGGGTTTGAGAGCTACATTGGGATCTGTGAGGACAGTGATCTGTGAGCCTGTTTGGGATTCTCTCTCTCTCTCTGCCCCTCATGCTTGCTCTCTCGCTCTCTCTCTCAAAATAAATAGATTAAAACAAAACAAAAAAAAAGATACAAATGTGGAAGTAGTTGTGTAACAGGTATTCAGTTTCATTTTTGTAAGACGAGAAATTCAAAGGGATTCATTTTGTAATAATGTAAATATTCTTAACACCACAGTTCAAAATGGTTAAAAAGATAAATTTCAGGACTTAGGTTTTCAACCACAATTAAGAGTAAAATATACGAGCGCCTGGGTGGCTCAGTCGGTTAAGCTCCGACTGAGCGTCCAACTTCGGCTCAGGTCATGATCTCATGGTTCGTGG